CATTAACATCAGGTATTAATTATAAAATCAGAAGGAACCACGAGGAGGTTTCGAACCAATACTGCGGGTACTGTACTCCCAAGTACGCGCCTTAAACCACTACACCACGACATAATAAAAGTAACGTTAAAAGCAGCCTGGTTCAACTGACTCCTCTAGGGTCTTGAGGCTTCCTCTGAAGCCAGACTCAGGGTTTAACGCAATGCCCCCATGCACTCTGGCTGTGGTCTAGGGTTCCACTTCCAACGCTCCTCTTCAAATTGAGAGAGAGAGAGAGAGAGAGAGAGAGAGAGAGAGAGAGAGAGAGAGAGAGAGAGAGAGAGAGAGAGAGAGAGAGAGAGAGAGAGAGAGAGAGAGAGAGAGAGAGAGAGCATGACTTCCAAATACACGAAAAACTAGTGAAATTTGAAAAATAATTAAGCACTTTTGCACTCGTCAAATGCCTGGCCAAAAGCCTGGCCTGGTCACTTTTGCCTGGCCAAAAGTGAGACCGGCCAGGGGATGGCGCCCCCTGCGATAAGCGATAGTGGCGCCGTCTGGATGTCAAGAAAACTGAGCAATAACTTGAGAAATTAAAAGAAGAAGAATCCTAATTTAACAAAAGAGCAACATTCAATTAACGTCAATAAATTTCTTTACCAGTAACGCAGGAAGGTAATACTGTAATAAACGCACGCCTTGTGAAACACTTGGAAGAAAGGAACAAAATAAGAAAAATAACTGAATTAACAGGCAGATGAATAGGTGAAGCCCAAGAACGGAATTGACTCGCATGACTATTATTCAGAATCACGAAGAAATCACAGTTGTGTGATGTATCAATGACAAATCACTTGGAGGCAATGGAGAGACTTGAACCCGCGTTCTGTTTAAACGCCAGTTGGTTAAGGCAGGTGTCGGGGACTCAACAGAACGCGGGTTCAAGCCACTCCATTGGCTCTAAGTGATTTTCATTATCTAGAATGTAAGAAACTATTATTTTATGCAAAAAATTGATAAATTTGATTCACACCCGTATTCAAATTTAATGTATTATCACTACAACAACCCGTCCTCACCACAATCCGTCCTCCTAAATGAAAATACTTGAAGATACTATAAAATCAACAGCAGTACAATAGTGGTTGTACTGGTGGTCCATCACCATCATCACCGAGTGGACAGCACGCTGGACTTGTGATCCTGTGGTCCTGGGTTCGATCCCGGGCGCCGGCGAGAAACAATGGGCAGAGTTTTTTTCACCCTATGCCCCTGTTACCTAGCAGTAAAATAGGTACCTGGGTGTTAGTCAACTGTCACGGGCTGCTTCCTGGGGGTGGAGGCCTGGTCGAGGACCGGGCCGCGGGGACACTAAAACCCCGAAATCATCTCAAAATAACCTCAAGATACCCTGTACGGATGGTCAACAAATGATATGCTCTAAAAGAAAAAGTTGTGGAAGCCACCTCCATCCACAACTTTAAGGTCCGATTCGACAAAGATTTTGAAAGTCAGAATAAATTGCAACGCAGCAGATACAACAAGGCTACAAGACCTCATAGAGCTAGACCTCACTTCCCCGTAGACACTGATAGGTAAGTACTGCCACCACCGACTGTGCTTGACGACTATTCAAGCTTTGCTTAAATATATGTGCAGTATGTCGAACCTACAGACCCCTCTAACGCCGACCACATAAACAGCAGCCAGCTGTTCTACCTACCGAGAGTCACCATTACCCCCTTTAAAGGAAGGATTCCAGAAGCATCTGTCTGCTGCCCAACTGGAACTTTAGCCATTCCCGTGTGTGTGTGTGTGTGTGTGTGTGTGTGTGTGTGTGTGTGTGTGTGTGTGTGTGTGTGTGTGTGTGTGTGTGTGTGTGTGTGTGTGCATGTTTGTGCGTGTTTTCCTTCGGGAACCAGCACCGTATATTCACTTATATTTAAGAGCAATGACATGAATGCTAATAACAACAAACTGTCATTTCTGTAAACAAAAATGGTCAGGCACGAATGTTTCCGCGAACAAAATGTTTAAGTCTGCTTTCTGGCGTTAATCTCCTTAAACACTCGCAGACCCTAAGGCAAGGTGCCGCGCCTCACGTCTTAACAAGACGACACAATGTTACTTAAGCTCTTAAGACTATGTGAGAGAAAAGAGAGAGAGAGAGAGAGAGAGAGAGAGAGAGAGAGAGAGAGAGAGAGGGTGGATGATATAGGGTAAAATTTCTTAGCTTGCAGTTTTATATTGACCAATATAATTCCAATGAACCGAAATCTTACATAAAAAACGGAGAATGAGAATTAGAAAGGAGTAAGAGAGAAAGAGCCTAAAAGGAGAAGATAGGGGAAAGGATAAGAGAGAAATCTGGGGAAAGAAGGAGAAGGGAAGTGAGATAGAGACATCTTTATCCAATTAAAACAATCCAGACGACTCTGTGAAGGAAAAGCTTTTTAAATTCTGGAGTGAAATTAAACCTCTCGAGGTTCACTCGAGCGTCCACTGTGCCTGTGTTAAGTGGGTACTCACCTGGTGGTACACACCTGGTGGTACTCACCTGGTGGTACTCACCTGGTGGTACTCACCTGGTGGTACTCACCTGGTGGTACTCACCTGGTGGTACTCACCTGGTAGTGCTCACCTGGACCACGCCTCACCCTAACCAGTGGTCGGTGGTCTTATAATAGTGGTTACTGATCTACTTTATTGACATCATACATATACACATAAGCCAATGTGTGATATGAAGTCCAGACTCCATTATTTTACCCGATACGCTTAGACAAAAGAAACATTGGCTAACCATATTCTATCTTAGTACGGAAGGAGACAAACATGAAAAGGAGACAAAACATTAGTGCAGGGAAAGGTCAGAGTGACCCAATTAAGGAGATGTTTATCCAAGTATCGGGAGAAAGGGGGGGGGATAATTCGAAGGGATCTGTAAGACTGACGGAAACAATAAGCAGCCTACAAGGCGAGCTGAAAGCAGCAAAGGAGATAAAAAGCCACAAAGAGAACACTACTCAGGCTCAGTATCAACAGTAACCATCCCACTAGAAACATGGGAATATATGAATTGAAGGGACTTCCACAGTACATGCCACATTTGCAGAAAAGCTATGGAAGAGCCCAAAAGCACTGTCCGTGATGAAGTAGCCAAGAAAGCAGCCACTTCACAGGAAGCAGCAAGGTGCACTAGTCAACTGTTGGAAAGGAAAAGAGCAGTGGTAGTAGTGTGCATTAAAGAACAAGCTGACTCCAGGAAGGCAGAGTGGAAGGCTGAGGAGAGAGCAGCAGTAACAGAGATCCTAAAGGGGCTACAGATGGAGGAGGGTGAACAAAGCACGGAGAAGGTTTTCAGGTTAGGCCGGTAAAACAAGGACAGAGACCGACTGATAAAGATAGTGTTCATGAATGAGATCACATTAGAGGAAATTCTAGTAAAGATGAGACAATTGTTAAATGTAAGGGGGGGACACAGTAAATTATTCCTTCAGAGGGACATGACAAGGGGCGAGTGAATTATGGTAACAGAAGCAAGGAAGAAGTGAAGGAAGAGAGAAGAGAACCAAGTAGCCACAGTCCTCAACCCAACATTCCCAGAGGGAGGGGGGGGGGGTGAAGAACCCCATCAGCAGCCCAACAACCCCACCCTCCTCTCCCTTAGGAACCCTCCTCATCCCATGCCCTCCCTGTCCCACTTCTCTTGGCCCCTTACCCTAGAATTCTGTAAAGCCCTATTTACCATTTTTACAATTTGCCACACACCTGTGGAACAACTTCCTATGCCAGCGGAAAGTCCATCAAGAGGGAGAGGAAGCGAAAATGGACAACAGAAAGTGAGCTTCAAGGCAATAAACATAGATTGGATTACAAATAAAACAGGTAAACTTGGAGAAAGATCACAGGAAGAAAACCCAGACATAATAGCACTCACAGAAACAAAATTAACAAGAGTTATAACAAGTGTAGTGTGTCTGCAGGAATACTACGTGGTAAGGAAAGATAAGGAAGGAAGAGACTGAAGAAGAGTGGCTCAGCTGATAAGAAAAGACTAGAGTTTTGAAGAGATGGTTGTCTCAGGCTGTGAAGGGTTAAGTGACTACAAAACAGGCACTATGGCAACTGGAGGATAAGAAATAATAATAGTAGTAATATATAACCCCCCACCACATGACAGAAGACCAGACAGGAATATGACAGAAGCAACGTGTCTACTATTAATATAATAGAGAGAGCAGCTTCTGTCACATGCAGGAACGGATCCAGACTAATAATCATGAGAGACTTCACCCATGGGAAATAGATTGGGAGAACAGTCTATCTTCCCATAGCTGAAGTCGAAGAATTATGGACATGTGAGGGAACACGGACCCCCACGACCGTGCTCACGACCATTACGGAGATGGGAGGGAGCACGCGAGCGCAAGCTAAAAATATGGGGCAGTTCCGATGTTGAAAATGAAGAGGGCAGCACGGTGCACTGAGCAGGTGGTGGTTAGGTCAGGGTCAGGATTACCAGGATCAGGACAAAAGACCAACAGGGTGAGGACAAGAGGTTACTTGGGTCAGCGCACCAGGTCAGCAGGGTGAGGACAGGTTATCAGGGTGAAAGCACCAGGTCAGCAGGCCTAACATTAATGGGCCCCTGTAGCTCAGGGGTTCACAACCAAGAGATCCGCTTCCAATCCTCGGGTAGGACGGAAACGGTTGGGCATGTTTCCTTATACCAAGTGCTTCTGTTCGCCTTGAAGTAAAATAGGTACCCGGGGGTAATGCAACTGTTTTGGATTTCATCCTGGGGATGGTCAGGCTTCCTTCCCCGGAACCATGTCGGTCCTGAACAGTGTTGGTCCTGACCCATATCGGTAATGAACCACGTTGATCCTGAACCACATCGGTTCTGAACCATGTCGGTTCTGAACCATGTTGATCCTGAACCATGTCGAATATGAAGAAGGTTGCATTAAAATCCAATATCCTGCCCGAAGTTCCAGGATACATTACAGTCCAATATCCTAACTGAAGTTCGAGATTTGAGCACCTTCATTATCTTCCTCTGAAGAGTATCTCCTGCAAATATACACCCACAACAGACTGCCTTGTATGGAATCCAATTCATAATCTCAACTATATATATAAGCGAGCAATATATTGCATAGTTATCTGGAACTACGCCGTCGTTTCGCAAGACACATCACAGGATCAGGGGGTTAAGAGCTGCCTTGTTCAGGGCTGGAGCTTAATTAAGGAGACATCGTTCTTAAGATGTGGTTATTGCAGGTTGAGAGCTGTTAGTCTCGGGTCAGATTAGTTTTGAGTTTTTGTGTCTGGTGTGTGTGTGTGTGTGTGTGTGTGTGTGTGTGTGTGTGTGTGTGTGTGTGTGTGTGTGTGTGTATGTGTGTGTGTATGTATGTGTGTGTGTGTGGTGTGTGTGTGTGTGTGTGTGTGTGTGTGTGTGTGTGTGGTGTGTGTGTGTGTGTGTGTGTGTGTGTGTGTGTGTGTGTGTGTGTGTGTGTGTGTGTGTGTGTGTGTGTGTGTGTGTGTGTGTGTGTGTGTGTGTGTGTGTGTGTGTGTGTGTGTGTATGTGTGTGTGTAGCCTAACTTAAAGGTCACATACATAAAAACAAATTTAAATATTCGTGGAAATAGAATCCCTCATAATTTCTGATCTCAGAAACAGTCAAGACAAAGTAAACATTCGGTAATGCTTCGCTTATGAATGAGCGAGACCTTTGTTTACTTCCTGTCAGCTGACTCGATACAAATATCACACTCTACGTCTCAATGACGTCATAGTCTGGTCTATTGTTTGTCAACAAACCAGAGCCAGACGAGGACCTAAAATCATGATGAACCCTTGCTAACCACAATATAAATTTATCATTACCAGCTATATAATAATACCCCACAAAGATAAAAATACGAGTTTCATGTTGAGATCTTAAGACGTTAGTCTCAAAAGGACTAGGATGCTACGAATGTTTTATGAGATAAAATGAACTCTGCCATTCACAAAAAGCGTCCTACGCAAATCTCGCCCGCCATAAAGCTTGATATAAGAAGCATTTTCGTATTCCGACTCATCCCGGAGACTCTCATACACTGAAAAGCTGTTTTTCAGCTCAAATGACGTTGACACATCGTTAATTTTAAATTAGAAAATAAACAAGCGACATGTAATTACATGTGGCTACAGGAGAAAGAAAGGGAGGGAGAAAGGGAGAGGGGAAAGGGGAGAAGAAGAAAAGGGGAGAGGAAGAAAAGGGGGAGAGTAAAGGAAGGGGAGAGGAAGGGAAGGTTTGAAAATGGAACGGAGACAGGAGAGGGAGGGAGGGAAGGAAAGAAATGGAGGAAAGAAAGGAGTTGGAAAGGGAGACAGCACACATAAAAGTACATAAAGACGGATACCAACAGAAAAGAAAACAAGGAACCAAAGACCAACAAATGCTGTAGACTGTAAACCTGACAGCTGTTTCTGTCCCTCTGTCCCGACATGCTCAACCTGTCCTTCTGTTACCTGAGCACACCCCAGGCTCTGTCCCACACACACACACACACACACACACACACACACACACACACACACACACACACACACACACACACACACACACACACACACACACACACACACACACACACCGTAATACTTCCCTCTCACTTCCCGCACTTTTACTTTCCAACTCCCACAATCAACCCGACTCTTCCTGTCTCCTCTTCCTCCTCCTCTCGCGGCGTCAATCTTGGTGCTCGTGAACATTCATGGCACAGACCTCACATCCTCCAGGATGAAGTCAAGAAGTCAAATCGGCCTTCAGAAGGGTAGAGGGGACGGCTGGGGTGGCGGGGGGGGGGGAGTTCACCTCGATTCTCTGAAGCTTAATAGAGTTTCAGGTTCATACAGACAGAGCTTACGACCAGCTTAGCCCCCCCGGGAAGATTAAGCTGGAGGAGATGTAAGCTGGGGGTCAGTGCAGTGTGGGAGGCGAGGAGTCCCGGGTCGGGATGGAAGTGCGGAGGACGAAAGGGGAAGCGAGACGGTGGTACTGGAATAAGCAGCTGCCTAATGGAACATGGAAGCAAGACGTTAAAGACAGGAGGATCGAAGACATGGTTTTGAGCAGAGTTATGTGAGCGACTCGCACGTGCGTCGACACCTATGTCTGAGTTACAGACACCTGCGTCACCTAAAACCTGCTTCAAGAAGTCTATAAACTCATTAACAATAGCGTAACTTAAAAAAGAAATAACGTAACGCAGCTAACTCGGTAACAACAAAGTAGGGTGGAGGAACTATACATAAAAGGAGGGGGTAATAAACTCCTATATTAGCTCTTACACTCAGTTAATTAATACAAAACCTCATAACACAACTAAAAAATCAAATACGAACCTTTGGCAAACTTAATCAAATTATCTTCCAATCCGCTGGAACCTTTCAAGGTCGGACTAGGACAAATTAATACCTCAGGGCCCTCATTCAAATTTTTTTAATATATCATGAGAGCATATATAGAAAGATTAATTAGGTTTTCCAACTTGCATTACATACACACATTATATATATATAAAATATATATATATATATATATATATATATATATATATATATATATATATATATATATATATATGGTCGGGAATGTGACAATGGTGGAAGGTATTAGACGGGAGTGGTAGGGTGGGGCCCGGAGGAGGGGACTGGCAGAGGAGGACTGGGCATCAGAGATGAATGGACGCTGCACACAGTCTCCAGCCACCTCGGAAGAAAATTAATTGAACTGCTGAACTTGTTAAAACTCGCTTTGTTTGTCACAGTATTTCTTCCTGGCTTATTCTCTCTTCACATTTTCTTGTCTCTTTAAAGTTATTGTTGTGTTCATCCTTCTGTCTGCCACTCGCATGCACTCTCTCTCTCTCTCTCTCTCTCTCTCTCTCTCTCTCTCTCTCTCTCTCTCTCTCTCTCTCTCTCTCTCTCTCTCTCTCTCTCTCTCTCTCTCTCTCTCTCTCTCTCTCTCTCTCTCTCTCTCTCTCTCTCTCTCTCTCTCTCTCTCTCTCTCTCTCTCTCTCTCTCCAATAAATAAATCATACACGTTAGAATTCCAAACTTGAATCAAGGACATTAATAAAACCCATAATTACAAGTAGTAAATCCCCTTGACCACAGGGATATATATGCACAGAGTAATACCTTAGTTTCTCGGCGTATACACAGTTTCTATACGCCGAGAGTTCTGGACTCTGTTCTAAAGTATACTTGCTGGGTGGTTAGCAAACATTTTTCTTGATTTAATAATCCTCCCCCAAACTCGAGAGGTTGACAGACCTTAATAACCACAACATAGATCCTTCCTGATCCTGATCCTTCCAAGATCCTTCCTGATCCTGATCCTTCCAAGATCCTTCCTGATCTTGACATAGTCAAGATCAGGAAGGAAGGTATTTTTACACTGCATTACAGATGTTTATAGAAGGTTAAAACACCTGGGACCAGGAAGTCCCAGGTGTTTCTTGTAAGTGGTGACTGAATCGTATTAATTAGACTGAACAATAAGATAGATTTGTCATCAAGAGGGAGCGCCAAGCCGCTTAGGCTACATGGCACTTGAAAGGTACAGGAAGACAAGGGTCTGGGGGTACAGAGGGAAGGAACGGTACTCAACTACTCGTACCAACGGGGGATCGAACGCCATCCTGCCAGAAGTGAGACCGTCACTCTACCGACCAGCCCAAGTGGTTGGGCATCAAAGGGTAAAGGATCTCTATGTCTTAAATCGTTCTCAATATTGGTAAACACTAACTAAATTTTTTATTTGTGGATGAGAATGCCTTAGAATTTATTCCGAAGTTCATTTCTAATATAATTGTGAAAAGTACCCAGAAACAGAACACAATACCCAGAACACAATACCCAAACGGTACCCAGAACACAATACCCAAATAGTACACAGAACACAATACCCAAACGGTACCCAGAACACAATACCCAAACCGTACCCAGAACACAATACCCAAACCGTACCCAGAACACAATACCCAAACCGTACCCAGAACACAATGCACAACCTGAACCTTTGTTTAGTGGGTTGTAACAGCCTGAACCTTTGTTTAGAGGGTTGTAACAACCTGAACCTTTGTTTAGTGGGTTGTAACAACCTGAACCTTTGTTTAGTGGGTTGTAACAGCCTGAACCTTTGTTTAGTGGGTTGTAACAACCTGAACCTTTGTTTAGTGGGTTGTAACAGCCTGAACCTTTGTTTAGTGGGTTGTAACAGCCTGAACCTTTGTTTAGTGGGTTGTAACAGCCTGAACCTTTGTTTAGTGGGTTGTAACAGCCTGAACCTTTGTTTAGTGGGTTGTAACAACCTGAACCTTTGTTTAGTGGGTTGTAACAACCTGAACCTTTGTTTAGTGGGTTGTAACAACCTGAACCTTTGTTTAGTGGGTTGTAACAGCCTGAACCTTTGTTTAGAGGGTTGTAACAACCTGAACCTTTGTTTAGTGGGTTGTAACAGCCTGAACCTTTGTTTAGAGGGTTGTAACAACCTGAACCTTTGTTTAGAGGGTTGTAACAACCTGAACCTTTGTTTAGAGGGTTGTAACAACCTGAACCTTTGTTTAGTGGGTTGTAACAACCTGAACCGTCGTTTAGAGGGTTGTAACAACCTGAACCTTTGTTTAGTGGGTTGTAACAGCCTGAACCTTTGTTTAGAGGGTTGTAACAACCTGAACCTTTGTTTAGTGGGTTGTAACAGCCTGAACCTTTGTTTAGAGGGTTGTAACAACCTGAACCTTTGTTTAGAGGGTTGTAACAACCTGAACCTTTGTTTAGAGGGTTGTAACAACCTGAACCTTTGTTTAGTGGGTTGTAACAACCTGAACCTCCGTTTAGTGGGTTGTAACAACCAGTGCAGGTGGTGGTTGGGTAAGACTAATTTCCTTTCACACACCTGGATCGTCGGAGAATCGAACTCAGGCCTCAAGAGTACGCAACCACTGTCCTACCAACCAGGCCAATTTTTCTAGCAATAATGAAGAATCTTAGAAGCCCCTAACTTCACTTAGGAATAAGTTCTATTGTAAAATGACCTCACTAATGCAATGAAGAACACCATACTCTCATCGTATGAGTAAATAAACAACAATGACACTGTAATTGCCGGCGTTAACAACCCGACGGCAGCTGAAACGATCTATCAACAGGTCAGTTTGCATGGTGATTGACGGGCGTGGTCGAGGATAATGTGATAAATGAGTTAGTAATGACCTGAAGATCGGGAGTTAATCATTTCCCACGGACTGGAACGTCATTCATTCCACCGGCAGGAACCTAACTCTCAGCCACCCGCCCAACCAATTTATCAGCCAGCTACTCACCCAACCAACCAATCAGCCACCCAACCAATTTATCAGCCAGCTACCCAACCAACCAACCAATCAGCCACCCAACCAATTTATCAGCCAGCTACCCACCCAACGAACTAATCAACCCTAAACATGACACACACCTAACCAATCTACCAACCACTAATCACCTCCTAACAACCTACCAATCAAGCACTCACCCAACCAGCCAGCAACTCAACCAACCTACCAACACCTACCCACCTCAAACAACAGTAAATGTAGAATAATTAACTTACCTGACTTCGATGATGCGATCAATGCCATCGAAGTCGTCCATTTGACCGGGAGGACAATTGGAGATGATGTCCAGGTTCTGTTGGGGCTTACCCCAGGCGCCGTCATTCTTGGGCAGGCCCGAGATGAGGTCGTTCTGAAGCTGGAACTTGTGCTGCTCGTCGGCCTTGCTGCCGGTACAGCTGTTGTCGTGGGTGGTGTCGTGGGTGGTGTCGTGGGTGGTGTCGTGGGTGGTGTCGTGGGTGGTGGTGCTAGGGTGCGGTAGAGAGGTCAGCCCTGCCGGCCGAGAGCTCTTGTGGAACAGAAAACGACCAGATCCCGTGTCTCTGAAAGAAAATAACGAGCCAGCGTCATGGAAGGGGTAATGCAAGTATTTTCTTCCTCTCCGCTTACGTACTTCCCTTCCCCAGTCAACCAACTCATCCTTCCCCCCCTACTCACCCCGACCCCTCTCACGCTGGTGCCCCAGTCAGTGTTGCGTTCACTTTATAAATATGATCATAAATATGGGATAGAGAGGAAAGACAGACGATTGAACGCTTGAACTAATAATAATAATAATAATAATAATAATAATAATAATAATAATAATAATAATAATAATAATAATAATAATAATAATAATAATAATAATAATAATAATAATAAATAATAAAAATAATAATAATGTTTATTTAAGGAAACGTACATACATACAAAATGAGTTACAAGAAAAATGTTGGATTTCTACTCTTAACCATGTTGATAGTAGACTATTGAAGATGGCGAGGTTTAACCGTGAAGGGAAGGGAACTATCAGGAGACAAGCACCAAGCCATTACGACTTTATATATATCACTGGGAAAGGATAAGGGATGGGACGGGGGGGGGGGGAAGAATGATGCCCCAACCACTTGGACGGTCGGAGGGATTGAACCTCGACCTGCAGGAAGCCAGACCGTCGCTCTACCGTCCAGCCCAAGTGCCTAACCGTGAAAGTGCACGGGGTGTCTAATTGTGGAACAAGGAGTCCCACGGTCTCTGAGGAAAGGGTGGGCCATGATTTATAACTGAGAGGTGGGACTAGGGTCCATAGCTGAACAAAGGTAAGGCCAGTGTTACTGGGGGTGCCTGGGACTCCCAGAGTGTTACTGTGGCCTGGGGGTACTCCTAGGCTTCACTTACATCCCCCCTCTCCTAGGCTTCACCAACACCCCCCACCCACCTAGGCTTCACCAACACCCCCCACCCACCTAGGCTTCACCAGCACAAACTTTTTAAACTACACTAAATCAATTTATATTCACCAGTTAAACAATTTACATGAGTATGAATAAGCCTATACAAATAAGTTGCATGCTAAAGTTTGAAAAATAAAAATAACTTTCTCATCCGTGGACACGATGTGGTTTCCATGACAACGTTTCTGCAGCTTCCAGTGTGTATAGTTACTTATATATAAAAGTTGGGTCTTCTCTATAACGCCCCCTTAATACGTAACTTTTTCGTATGAAATCAACTAATAAATTAAAAATGCGACACATTTGTATATATTAACATTTTCTGTACATAAGCCTCGATAGGTTAAGTGGGTTGCTTGGGTTCGAACGTTTCTGGTTAAGGAAAACAAATTTTTACGGAGTGACAAATTGAGAGAACAGGTTATTATAACATGTTACTGTGGGAAATAATTCATATCTGGTGAAAAAGAAAACGAGGAAAATGTTGGATGAAGCGAACAGGGGTAATTAAAGTAATAGTGAATAAGGCTTGTGATTAATGGTGATCAACGATATGTAACTGGCTTATGAAGCGGTAAACAAGACCATCCAACTTCTGAGATTCATAAGGGTCCTGTTATACAGTGGTGAGCGCTGTCGGGTCACAACACAAAGGTCCAGTGGTAATTCATGCGGCCGGACGGAGGCGTTTCAGCAAAATTTCTTTTCGCCCGATTCCTCTGTTCACCGGCAGCTAGGCAACTGTTGTGGCTTGCATCCTAGGACAGGTCAGTAGTTGACCTAGGAGGGGACCTTCGAGTGAATGATAGGTTTCTTGTCTTCGATTATACCTCAGGATATGCTCGGCCAGGCTGCGACAACCCCTAACACGCATTAAACAAACGTACAGTGTGTTCTGAACCGCGTTAATATAGTATATAGTTAGGCCGGGCTGGTGTATAGGTTCCGTTGGCAATTATTTGTACTTGAAGTACGTCGGTGAAGCATTTACAGAGTTGTGATTCGAACACAGGTCGTCAGCGAAGCACTGTTCGATAAATGTTTGAACGTAATCAGTTGTGATTCGTGTGCAAACCGTTCTTCATTCAGCCCGTCCTAATCAACAAGGGCCAAATGCTCGTTAATCCAGCCGCAAACCCCCTTGCTTATGAACGAAAAAAACGCTTTACACAAGATTTACAACTGACGACATTCGATCATTTTTCGAACAATACTTCGCTGACGACCTCTGATCGAATTGCAACTCTGTAAATGCTTCACCCACGTACTTCAAATACAAATAATCACCAAAAGTACCTAAACACCTCACCAAACCTAAATAATAAAAATTATGTTAATTTATATATGAGAACAATCCAGTTTTTATTACAATATGTTAAAATTGACGGATGCGTCTTGCGGGACGGCCGCTGCTTTAACGAGCCTGGCCTGAGGATGGGATGCTTCATTCATAAACAGGAGGTTTGACGGCTAGATTAACGAGCATTTGGCTTTTGTTAATGAGGGAAGGTTAAAGGAAATCATAAAATGGTTTCGATCCTCAGGTTTATGAGGCAGTAAACAAGACCTACCGGGCACGTGGATTCATGAGGATATATTTTTCCTCATTTTCGTGTTGGGAATCTTATCCACAGTTGGGCATGGGTTCGAGATTCTCTGAAATCTTACGGGGAGTTTTGGGCACTAAATTTGAATGAGATCGAAAAGCTGAAAGGCGTTCAGCGTTCACACGCTAGAGTATACCTGAAGTATACTTGCAGTATACCTTTAGTATACATGCAGTATACTTGGAGTGGTTTCTGGGAGTTTTTCTTCTCTGACACCCTAGTGAGGACTTGTACTACTCCACCCAGACTACCGCCCACGACCCTCCACCACCGCCCACAACCCTCCACCCACCGCCCACGACCCTCCACCACCGCCCACGACCCTCCACCACCGCCCACGACCCTTCACCACCGCCCACGACCCTCCACCACCGCCCACCGCCCACCACCACCGCCCACCACCCTCCACTACCACCCACTACACTCTGCGGACCAACTATGCAGATGAAGCAGCATCCATCATAACCTGGATAAAATACGTCTGAGTGGGTCAGGGAAGGTCAAGCGCCCACACCAGCGTTGCTCCTTATCTTCTCAACGGAGCGCCCACAATCTCCTCCCAGGACACGTCTCCCAGGACACCGTCTCCCAGGACACGTCTCCCAGGACATCGTCTCCCAGGACACCGTCTCCCAGAACACGTCTCCCAGGACACCGTCTCCCAGGACACGTCTCCCAGGACACCGTCTCCCAGGACACCGTCTCCCAGGACACCGTCTCCCAGGACACGTCTCCCAGGACACCGTCTCCCAGGACACGTTTCCCAGGACACCGTCTTCCAGGACACGTCTCCCAGGACACGTCTCTCAGGGCACCGTCTCCCAGGACACCGTCTTCCAGGACACGTCTCCCAGGACACGTCTCCCATGGCACGTCTCCCAGGACACGTCTCCCAGGACACGTCTCTCAGGGCTTACAAAGGCGACAAAGCATTTTACCAGGGGAGATGGGAGGAACCACGACCAGGTGTACACGGTACACCCTGGGGGTCCTCCCCAGGCCACAGTAACACCCTGGGGGTCCTCCCCAGGCCACAGTAACACCCTGGGGGTCCTCCTCAGGCCACAGTAACACCCTGGGGGTCCTCCCCAGGCCACAGTAACACCCTGGGGGTCCTCCCCAGGCCACAGTAACACCCTGGGGGTCCTCCTCAGGCCACAGTAACACCCTGGGGGTCCTCCCCAGGCCACAGTAACACCCTGGGGGTCCTCCCCAGGCCACAGTAACACCCTGGGGGTCCTCCCCAGGCCACAGTAACACCCTGGGGGTCCTCCCCAGGCCACAGTAACACCCTGGGGGACCTCCCCAGGCCACAGTAACACCCTGGGGGTCTCGGGTCTCAGTAATACCGGCAGTATACTGTGGGCGAAGCATCGGAGCGTAGCGCACCCGTCATAACTCCTCCCAACATTCTTTTTAATTAAACAATATCCACAGACTTTGTTCCTCGTGTGTGTGTGTGTGTGTGTGTGTGTGTGTGTGTGTGTGTGTGTGTGTGTGTGTGTGTGTGTGTGTGTGTGTGTGTGTGTGTGTGTGTGTGAGAGAGAGAGAGAGTGAGAGAGTGAGAGAGGGGAGAGGGGGGAGAGGGGGAGAGGGAGAGAGGGAGAGGGAGAGGGAGAGAGAGGGAGAGAGAGGGAGAGAGAGGGAGAGAGGGAGAGAGAGAGAGGGGGGAGGGCGGGAGAGAGGTGAGGAGGGATAGGGGATGCCAGCTACCCTCTGCTGCCTCATCTCTCGTGTTTACGTTCATTAACCTCTAGTGATGCTGCGCCTACCTGCTGCCCGCCCCTCCCCACTCTCTCCTGGGTGCTTCTCCGCCTCTCCCTCCCCCCCACCTCCCTCCCTGGGAGGCTCCTGAGTGCGTTCCTGAGTGTGCTTCTGAGTGTGTTTCTGAGTGTATTTCTATGTCCTAAATTGTCTCTCTGGTCCTAATGCAACCTTCCCCGCCCCCTCTACTGGACACATCAATTTTTCTCCACATTCATCTCTGAATTTTCCTTCCTGCTGTGTCCTGATCTCTGGAGGTCGTGATGCTGTGCGCTAATCGCATTAGGTTACTCATTACTTTAAACCACCAATTCCCAGTTGCCAGACTAACAGATACGGTTGTTTCTCTTGCTCTGTGCTCCTGGGCTTCATAGACTGTTACTTCTTCTTGATTCCTCCTCTACCCAATCCACTTCTTCATTCTACCTCCTCTCCCCTGTTCCCTTCCCTTCTCTTTATACACTACTTCTAATCACTCTCTTCTTTGACTGTGGATAATAGCCAGTGTCAAAATCGTTGTGGAATGGGGGGAGAAAGGGGGTCAATATTTGACCGTGACACACTGTTCTCTCGTGAATTGTGACCACCTCGACCTGACTATATTGAGATCGTATCACTCAGGAATCAAGGTGATAAGTTGGGTGTAGCAACCCTCCAATCTCGACCAGACAAGCATATATTTTAATCTATAAAAACTCTAACGTTTGTTAGAGTTTAATCTATAAAAATCTCTAA